CACTCGACCACGGAGGTCGTCAAAAATGCCAGAAAATGTGATCATTTGTTGCTATAGAGTAAATATCGATTAAAGTGGGGGAGGACACCTTCTACGTGTTCAAAGCATTGTTTCGCTTTAGTACTTATATGACAGTATATTTTTTTCTGAAAAATCTTGACTTTGAAAACAAATTTTACGTACCTACACTTTTAAAAATCCTGATGTTGATTGATACGTCAGTGAATTTAGCAATGAATTTATCGGCCACATAAGTAGGTATGTCTGATTACTACTTTGATACAAAAAAAAATCGAGCGATAATAATTTATTTTAAACTTGTTCACTGAAAATTTCGGCTTCGGCAAGAATTATTTAGATAAAAATAAAAAGATAAAAAGAAAAGAATTTATTATCATTATAATCAATGATAAATATAATATCCTTACTACTATGAAATCGGAATTCCGTTGTTCATAAAACTATTTAAAAAGTACCTATATTTAAAAAAAAGGATTAAAATAAATTCGCGAAACTTGAAATTGTCTGACTTCTGCATTACGTCGTCGTAATCGTGAAGCCATGAAAGTCGTCGTCAAAGCATGACCTCCTGATTCAATGACGCCTTTGGTAGATCGCTAAATACGCCGAGTCATTGAGTCACAAATATAACTCCTACGCAAGTTTTCATTGAAGGCTATGATTTTTGAAGTAAAACTTTATTTTGGACCATTATTCGGACGACCTCCGTGGTCGAGTGGTTTGTACGCCGGGTTTCATGGCTGTCGCCGACTTGAGAGGTCTCGGGTTCGAACCCGGTGGGGCAGATGTTTGTGTGATGAATACTAGCATAGTACTCCAGTCATGGATGTTTAATATGTATTTATATAAATATACTTATAAATGGACAGTATATGTATTCCATCCGTTACCCTAGCATCCCATAACACAAGCCTTATAGTGCTTACTTTGGGGCTAGGCTAATTGGTGTGAGTGTCGGAAATATTTATTTATTATTCGGATATTTCCATTTGCACCCCATAAATGGAAATATCCTATGGAAAAGATGAAATGGAAATGCCTCACAAGCGTCACACGAATACTACATATATGTGTGTGTGTGTGTGGGATGCGTGTGCAGCTTTTCCTGACGAGCATGAAAGTTGGAGGGTAACTTAAGCTTAAGCTGCAAGCTGTAGCTGCGTGCGCTGCTCCATTCCCCTATGCCTTATACACCGCCTATTGTTAGGTTATTTAAGAAAAGAAGTTACACACATGTGAAGTGCGACATTGCGTAAAGAAGCAACATGCAGGCTGGCAGGGTGAGGTTGGCTTGTGCGGCAGGTAGAACTGCTGTATCAGCTACCTTCGCATCTGGACTTCACCGTCACTTAACATCAGGTGGGGTGGAAAAATTCGTCGGACCTATCTATAAAAAAAGTCTTTTGTTTTATTTTTATGTGAAAAGGACGTCAAAGGAACAAGGTCCGCCTGAAGTTCTTCATAACTTATCGACACTATTATGTAATATTAGAATATTACTCGCGCAGTATAATAAATTTATACTGAACCTTATTCCCTAACCCGAGAAGCCTTGGAGCACTTACTTACAATATCATCAGAAATATAATACAACACCACCAAACAGCCGTCAGTATTATTTTCATTCTAGCCTTCTTTAAGGTTGAGGTTATGTACCCTACGAGTTTAGCTTCAATTTCAGCGGACAATTTGAATGTCCTACCTCTATTTAAAGTACCGCCTACAGTCTAGTTACGAGTACGAAGTACTGGATCGATAGTTAAAATAACACATGAAATGCGGCTGCTACTTAAGATTATTTTTCAACGTTATGAGTTTAGGCTATCGGCAAACAGAGCGGCTTCGGGAACTTATTGACGTGTTTTTAAGTGAATATATAAAGATTATTTATTAAAAAAAACGAGTATGCTTATGATCACACGACTGAAGTGTAACTTCTTTAGCTCCATCTGTATGTATATATATGTGTGTACAATATATACAAGTATGCACACATATGTCATTTACTAACTATAAGAGAAAGAAATTGTGCGCGCAAACTGCTTTCTCTTGCTTATATCCCCCATTCAACTCCCGTTCGCCTCGCCCGAACACGCTTTTCGTAACGCGTAACGCATTCAACCGCTTACCCCCCAAGTCAAACGTGCGTAAAGAAGTTTAAAACAATATCGAAAACAATTATTTTAAAGTCCAATATTTTATGTTTATTTAACAATATAAATTCTAAAACAATTAGAGTCTCTCTTGAGTGACACCGTGACATGCTGAATTGGTGAAATTGTATACTTCTTTGGAAACATCTTTATAACGGGTAAAGTTAAGAGCGCAATGAAACTATCTGACGATTATGATCTCAAAATAAAAGCTTCGAAATTAACAATAAATTCATAATTTCGCACTTGTAATTTAAGTAAGTACTTAAAATACAGCAAATTGCTATTCTATCTTCAAAACAATCTTTCATGTTGAGACACTATGCAAATAAGTGTCGTAAATGTTCAGAAATTTGTTTTACATTATGCTAAGTTGTATATAATAATAGCAGCTTACTCATACCTACATAGATCACTTTTACAATATCATCAAGTAATGCTATTATTTTCATTACATATTGTAATGTCACGTCGACCTTCAGGATTAGCTAGGCTATTGAAGTAGGGTTGCCAACTCTGCCGAGATGAAATGTCTTTGCAACAAAGAGCCTACATTACTACATACTAGCTGTGCCTATTAGGGATATTTTCCCGCAGTAAAAAGTAGCCTATGTGTTAATCCAGGGTGTCAGATAACTCCATCCCAAATTTTATTAAAATCGCTCCAGCCGTTTGGACGTGAAGAAGTAACAAACATACACGTTCACAAACTTTCGCCTTTATAATCTTAAACCAATACACTCCAATATTTGTAATACAGCGGTTGGAGTCCGTAGCTTCTTTAAGATACGATATAAATATTTATATCAAGTGGGTCAATATATACAAACCAATAAATAAGAAACAACCAATAAATAACTGCATTTTCGTAGAGTTGACAACCCTATATTGAAGTGGTTGAAAGAACATAGGTAATTAAAATTCTGCCTTAGAACTAAATAAAAAAGATTACATTTGTTACATAGATAAATGATTGGTCTCACTGAGACCAATAACAATTTCTATAGACAAAGTCTTTAAATTTTTGTTCTACAATTGCCATTTTCACTTTTTTTATGTCTATGTCTTATTGTTTTAAAAATACACAGACAAAACATCTGTGACTTAATTAAGTATTTCATTTCATTTTTCTTTTTCTACAGTACATATTTTTCTTCCAATGCTAAGATAAAGGCACTTTTTTCTATTTCAGATGTTGATTGTACAAAAATATAATTAGAATTCTATTTCTGCATTTTCAAAACATCCATAAATACGCTGGTGAATCACGCTGAAAATATTTGTTATCTGTTATTTTCTTACGTGGTTTAACTAAGAACTACTAATACGTACTGTGATAAATGAAATAGTTGTTATTTAGTCATAGGTCTTATGCATTTTTGTTATTAAACTTGACAGGGTACCGTTCTTAAAAGATGACCACCAAATTTTGACGTGACAACGTCTTAAATTAGGTTGCGGCTGGGAGTCACTTATGAAAAAGTGTAACGCTCGGTAACGTTACGATGAGTCTCTCGTGTTAAGTTTAAGTTTACATGTACAATGTTTTAGTAAACAAAATATATTTCTATAGTTAAAATTTGTGCAATTCTTATTTTCATTCAATTCCTTGTTCCTATTGTGCAATTTAATTATATTCATATCAATAAATATTCTACCGAGAAAAAGACGTTGTCACGTAAAATCTTCGCCCGTAAAACCGACTTTACAGGCAACCATTTTGACGTGACAACGTCTTAAATTAGGTTGCGGCTGGGAGTCACTTATGAAAAAGTGTAACGCTCGGTAACGTTACGATGAGTCTCTCGTGTTAAGTTTAAGTTTACATGTACAATGTTTTAGTAAACAAAATATATTTCTATAGTTAAAATTTGTGCAATTCTTATTTTCATTCAATTCCTTGTTCCTATTGTGCAATTTAATTATATTCATATCAATAAATATTCTACCGAGAAAAAGACGTTGTCACGTAAAATCTTCGCCCGTAAAACCGACTTTACAGGCAACCATTTCTTTATTTATTTTTTGTCCTATTCTTAGTCTAAAATATTGTACAATGGCACAGATCCAGAACTCTTATTGCGTGAGTTCAATTCGCATTTGGTTTATATTTTTAATAGTTTCACATGCCCGGGCAATGTGCCCGGGCCTTGTATCTGGCTGGATGGTATTAACCACAGAACACAGAAAAAGGTTAGAAGGGTCTTCAGAGACCTTTTGTACGGGAACCGATGTCACCGGCTCGCCCACACTACACTTACACTTAATAGATATCAGCCAATCAAACGCCGTGACATCAAACAATCGATCCAATCGGCGCTCACACCCGAGCGCTACAAAGCAATCGTTATCAAGTTTGGGTCAAGTTATGAGCATTTGCTCACAACTAACTGTGGCGCGCCTGCCCAGCCCACAAGGCCTTGCTAATATTCTGTGGTATCTTCTGTGTTCTGTGGTATTAACTGACCAGATATGAATTTTTTCTAGTAAATTTTCTTAGAATAAAGTTATGTAGCAGGAAAGTGTTTTAAAATAGGTTAATAATATAATACACAAAGTAAGTCTTCGGTAAGGGTTAGGTTATAATCTTCTGGGGAAGAAACCACAAAACTCTCTCTCTCGAAAAGAATTTCCTCCAATTACAATGACCGACTAGTGGAATAGGCATTTATTAGTTTGATTTGATTAGGCAGGAATATGATTTACGTAAAAGAAGATTATATACCATTTATACTACTAACTCTGTTGAGTTATCTACATAATTATTGGCGAGAGTTGTCAGCTACTTATTATTGTTATTGCATTTTGAAAACTTCTTTCTTGCAGGTGATAATGGGTGGCGGACGAAGGGAACTACTTCCGAATGTATCAGATCCTCTGGTGAAGACAGTCGGGAGACGAGTAGATGGTGTGGACCTGACCGAGCTGTGGCACGTAGACAAGGTCGAGAAGAACGCCACCCATCAGTATGTCACCGACAGAAATGAACTCATGAAGGTGATTTTTTATATAATAATTTATTGAAAGGCGCAACTGCAGAAAACAAAATTAAGATATATTGAAAGAGGTTTCGCAATACAATTTAATTTCAGTAAACTTTGCGTAGAACGTTCTACTAAATTTTCTAAGACTATCTGAAAGTAAGGGATTAATTTAAACGTTTTCAAGATTTCAATGATGCTCTTTTATAACTTTAAGAAATTAATTTTATTTCTCATTATACATAGACGTGTCATAGAATAACTAGTTAATGTTTCCAAAAGTATCAAAATAATTTTCTTCAGCCAGTTACTCTCCATTAGTGCTTTATGGACGGAATTATTTATTTTGATCATCCAGCTAATTGGAAGCGCCTTTTGAAAGTTTTCTATATGAATTATCTACTGTTTTAAGTTACTCCAAATGAATATTTCACCACGATCCCATGTCAATTATAAACTGTGTAGAACCTTTTTACTGAAGCGAAATGTTTCGAACGATTAGAGTCTTGTCTGGAGGTGATATATCTGGAAAAAATCGATTGTTTCAAGATAAATATTTATTTCTGTTTCAGGTGTTCAATTCGGATGACTTACCCGAGTACCTTCTGGGTCTGTTCAAAGATGACCACATGGACTATCATTTGAAAGCCAAAGACCAACCGACTCTCGAGGAGATGGTGGAGGTGGCCATTAAAATGCTCAGCAGGAGCAAGCGGGGTTACTTTTTGTTCGTTGAAGGTGAGACCAAAATTGTGAACACTGGAAAGGCAACCAGCCTACTGGCCTACTACTGAAGAAATACAATGTCACCTGTTTTTTTTCCTTCAACTATTCATTGTTTACAGTGAGCGCCAGAGCATCGGTAAATATTTTGACTCAGCGAAAAGATGTCTATGTACTTAAAATTTTCTATGTTTTATTATTTCAGGTGGTAGGATAGACCACGCTCATCACGATAGTCTAGCACATCTTGCTTTGGATGAAACAGTGGAGTATTCCAAGGCGGTGAAGAAAGCTAAACTCTTAACCAACCCAGATGATACGCTTATAGTTGTCAGCTCTGACCACGCCCACACTATGACGGTGGCTGGCTACCCTTCACGAGGGAACGACATCCTCGGTACAGTCGACACCGCACATGGAGATGACCGAAAGCCTTATACGACTATAAGCTACGCTAATGGAAAGGCAGCGTCGATAGGTGCTGATGGGAAAAGAGTGGATGTCACTTTGAGTCAACAGTTCATGAAAAGTAAGTTTTGCTACTATAACTATTTAAGAGAGGCAGGACATAAGGAATTTTCCTTTCGGATTGAAGCTGCCATCTGGGGAAGTAAGGTGGAGGACCTTACAGATACCACAGTAAAATAGCACTACCCCTTGATGGTGTTGTGTTTCTGTGGGTTAGTAAGATTCCAGGACTCCACGGGGTAGTGGATTAGTTCTGGTTAGGCAACTTCGCGAGTGGTATTTTTGTATTGCAAGCAACTTTAGTGGTGGCCGCTTTCCATCAGGCGAATCATCTGCTTGGTAACCGACCTTTTAACATAAATAAAAACTATTTAACAGGTAAAACTTAAATTGCTATTTCTGAGTAGCATTTGTCATCGATAAACATTAAAAAAAAACTTAAAACATCAGACGAGAATCGGAATGTTATAATCCTGATAATGCAGGAGGGTTATATATTACTAAATAGTGGATACAAAACGAATTTATCTCGACCTTGACACAAATTAGTGCTCTAGCTTTTCAGACAACTCTTTGTACCAGACCGGTTTCAGATAAGATTTGTTGACGAACCATAAAAACACTACGATTAAACTATTTGTGTTTTTCTTTACAGGGGATCCAGATTACACTTACCCGAGCCTCGTTCCGCTGGATTCGGAAACGCACGGCGGAGAAGACGTAGCTGTCTTCGCATTAGGTCCCTGGGAACATCTCTTCACGTCCAGCTACGAACAGAATGTCGTCCCTCATCTTATGGCGTACGCTATGTGCCTCACCGAAGATAAACACGAGAACTGCTATCCAAAACCGAACAGGTTCTGGACCTCCGGCGCAACAACCGCTAGAGTCGGTTCAGTTCCTTACATTTTAAGTATATTGACTGTGATTGTAGCCACGTGCTTATAAAAAGTATTAATTTTGTTGTTATAGTTTATAATTTGATTGTGTACAAAACAGATTTTAAAACACGCTGAAGCGATTAAGTCCGCCTGGAGGTTTATTAAAGTGTTAACTTAACAGGAGCTGCTCATGAGAGAAATAGTCTTGTAATAGTCTTAGTGAAGGTTTATCCTACACTCCTTATATAATGAATACACCGGATGTTTTGACTATGAAATATAATTATCTAAGTAAATTGGTATTTAAACATAATAATGGAATAAAGCGACAGTATTGCATAAAGCTACTAAATATTTTCAAAGAAAGTTAGCCACATAAATAGGGACGCAGTTAGCTAAATAGGGACGCTGCGAAAAGAAAATATAGAAAGACGCTAGTTGACATGGCCCCTTCAAGAGGAAAACATGTTATGACTGTCAAAATGAGGCAAAACTAAATAGTAAGCTCTAATAACACTAGAAGCTCCTTCAAGTGAGATCGTTTTTATTAATAACGTATTTTATAGTAAAATGTAATTGAACTAGAAAACAATTTTAAGCATTCTGAATATATATTCAGAATGCGATATATATCGCTCTAATGACTCGCTCGATATTATAAGGTGTATCGATTGTTTATGATTCCATTTGAGATATGGTTCCTCTTGCAAAAAGGCGATAATGTGATAATATTTTGTTCAGTCGATAGCATATAAAATTTACGAATTGATTATAAACCCTGGCGTATTATTTAAAAGTTTAAATTTAATGGTCAATATTTGACACTTTCTGATAAACCAAAATGAGCCTTTTCATTGTTTTATATATTATGTGTATTTTTAATGTTCTGTTACAAATTTGACTATTTTGTAAAACCATTTTGTAAAGAGTCTTAATCACTGCACTAAATATACAATTAGATTGCAGTCGAGATCAGCCTTTGATTTCTTTAACGATAGTTGGGTGTAATTATTTTTGACTCCATAATCTCCCTATCTTAAGGCATTCCACTATCTTCAACTAGTTTATTTTGCTCCCCAATATACCTTATTATTACTTTTGTACTTACTACACATTACGTAAAACCTAGCATTTACTTATCAAAGTGAAAGACTAAATTTCTTTATTCTTGTGTCTTTCTTTTTTCTTTTACTTTTTGAGATCAACTAAACACAATTGACGCTAACTAATTAAATGTACCATATCACATAATAACAGACTTGTGACCGTTTAAAAAAAATCCTATAGTTCCATTTTTATTTAATTTTATGATTCTGTCCAAATAATTTTAAGTTTCATATTAACAAGTTAACAGTTAAGTATCAGACATTTTGTCAATTGCGACAATGTTTGTGCGTTTATGAAAGAAAATATTGTGTCAGTTTTATTTTTTTTAATTTTTTCCAAAGCAGACTAGGGTGTTCCGGTGATACCAGTACGTTACAAATATAATAAAGATACTGTGCGTAGCTGGCTTGAGGTCCATAAATACAAGTATTCGTTATAGTCTGTAGAAAAAGAGCAGGCCGCGCGGAAATTCGAACGTGGCCACCAAAGAGGCCACGGACTGTTGAGGGGTGCGTGCTCATGGCCACTTTGGAGGCCACGGACTGTCCAGTGGTTATGTAGTGGCAAACTTCTCGAGCAAAACCACAGACAAATAAAGTTGCGCAGGAGGTAGATGTTTGTAAGAAAAAACGCTACCATGGAGGTTATAGATAAGGAGAACGATCGCTACGTATTATAGCATAAACCCGCCTGCCCTGAAAATTTGTAGAATTAATAGTTCATATTTCAGCCACCAGCCGCGCTGCCGTCGGTGAATAGTATCTGTGAAGTTAGCTGTTTATGAGTACAAGTAGATGAATTTATTTGAATATTGTACAAATTTTCTTCGCGGCATTGGTCCTTTCAAATTAGCCCGCTTTTATTGAGACAACTTAGCGATCGCAGCACCTCGCTTATGTTGTCCATATTTCTGGGACACTATTTTCTATAGCGATCATTCTCCTTCTCTCTAACCTCCATGATTGCTACTGTGCAGGCATCCTTGTCTATGGTCGTTGCTTAAGAAGTTTGCCAGGATATCTATCAACGACACGAATTCATTAGAGTTTAGCATGAATTCAAATCAGTATACATACAAACAAATAAGCGAATGTTATACGTCTTAAAAGTTAAACACAATTATCTCTTTTTCAAATCTTGCTAATAGATAGAGAATAGAAAACAATTGTGAACTACTAGTACTAGAGATAATATAAGAAACTTGATTTTGGCAAAACATAATTTAGGTTTCGCTTGACCAAATAAAATTACCACATAATATTAGTTCCTGGGCATAAATAAACTAATAGAAATGATTGTTAAAAAAGTGATTGAGAAGTTTCGTTATTTTAAGCTGATGAATAATATTAAATGTTTTAATATTTTAAGAAACTAAGAACAACGCAATTTTAATAATAAGTTATTATTTCTATATAAGTAGGGCATCTGAATTGCATTTTTCTAATTATTTTATAAATACATATAATTGCGGGATCAAAGTGTCACATACTTGTTGCAGCTAGTTGTTCATTTGAAAGTAAATTAAATGATCAAATAAGATAAAATCATACCTAGTTATACGATAGTTTTGTTTTCATCCATAAAAATTGTGTTAAATATGTATAAATAAATTACCTAATACATTAATATAACATTTTACAAAGTTAACTTGACTTGGTGCTGACCCAAATTCCAAGAAATATGTGTGATAAAAATTGTAATATTTATTGTTAAGTAATGAATTGAAAATAAATATGTTTCAGCCAACCACGTAATTTACTTACCTAATTGTTAAATTTACTTTCTTGTTATTGCGTCTACGGAATTCAGGTGTTTTTTTATGCGGCAACTTTTCGTCCTCTTCTTTATACGAGGCGCAACAAATTATTTCACCCCACCTGATGTTAAGTGTAAGTGGAGTCCAGTCGCTGAGATATATGATTCGGAAGAAGGTGTGCTGCTCTAGCTATCCTCACCTTGCCAGCCTGAACCCAATCCCCTACTCCGTGGAGTCGTGCAACCCTTTTAACGAGCATAAAAAAAAACACCAAAAGTAGAGCTCAGGTCCGAATCTCCTCTAGTTGAGCTGACCCCCTCAGGTTCGAGTGGTCTAGAGGCTCCAGACGGAGAGGAGACTCCCCCCGTGGGGAGATGTCATACGCCTGGAATACCTCTAGAGGCACTTGCCAAGTCACGGCTTGAGTTGAGTAATTGAGGCTTGAGAGTAAAAATAAAATAAATGTAAGTTCATTAATAATTATTTTATAAGACTCGAAACATCACCCGTAAAATGCAATATATACTAGTGCAAATCTACCTACGCGCCGATCAGGGTTTTAAGCTTTGAAGAACACACAGATTGTAATAGATAACGCAATTGTGCAAGTGCATGTTCTTTTTGTACTAAAATTTCCAAAAGAAAGACCAAAGCTCTCCCTTTACGCGATTTTAATTTCGTGTCACTGTTTACGATACCGAAAGTCAATATCGCTAATAGCAAATTTAAAAAAGGCTGATATGCCACATTTCTCTGTTATAACGATCAATTTGAAACAGGTAGCCGGGGTCAATGTTTTTCCACCACTAAATTTGTACTCGTGTGTAAGAATTTTATATGTTACAGGTCGGTTTCATACAATTAGAAGCTTAAGCGTCTACTTAACGCTAAGTCTGTGGTTTTTAGTTTTAATATTTCAATGATTATCATAATCTTTATTTGAGTTTGAGATAGTAAGTTATTTTATAACACATTTGCTCGTAAAGCGTCTCTTATTGCACCAATTTCAATATCATAATCTATCACATTACACACGTATGCAGTAATGTAAATACGCACGGCTTATTATGTTCCGTCTAAAAACGAACGATGCCTTTTTTAAATCTTAGCAAAGAGTTTTTATGTCAGAAAGGTACCCAACATTTTCTTAATAAGATTAACTTTGGGAGATAAAATATAATATATAAACATTTAATTTTTTAATTTGATTCATTTTAACAATAAATTACAACCATGTATCGGTTACAAATTCACAAAAATATTAATTTCCTTTATTAGTTTCTTTGCCTAAAAATCAAGAGGTCCTGGGTTCGAACCCGGTGGGGGCAGATGTTCGTGTGATGAATACGAGCATTAATTGTACTCCAGCCATGAATGTTTAATATATATTTCTATATAAATACTAACTGTCCCAGCGAATGTCGTACCGCCATAAAACATAGGGGTTGGTGATAGTAGGGTGAACATTTTGTGTTGTATGTATTTTTGTATGATGTATCATAAAAAAATAAAAACATAAAATTTTGAGTCATTACTCCAGAGCCTTACCACCACCCTGACATATAAAAAGTTAGAAAGTAGCTGAGTAATATATCTGTGATCTTCTCTAAGATGGAAGTTAGTTCCCCTTGCTCTAACTTGAACTTGCGAATTTCACTATGCTTTAGGTAGGCAAACTCCCTTAATTTAAAGTTGTCTGTTTCTCTGATATAAACCTGATTGCTATTTAAAAGTTTAAGGCGTCACTAAAATTTGATCGTGGAATACCAGCAGAAAGAAGTTGAAGTTAGGTGTGCTAGAAATGTAGGCGTAATGCTTGCGCTGACGCACGTTACGTTTATTCTTTACTTCACAGTGTGAATTAATATAGTTTTTTTACATTGTTGAGTTGGAATTCAAGTAATTATCTTCTGAAAGTGGCAGGTCCATATCATGTTCTATTATTATACACGAGGCTAGCTCGAATTTACCTATACGAGTTGTTACATTCTGATTTTTGCCCGACCGCGTCTAAGAATATTTTTTGAAAGAAACGTCGTACACATTTTTATTTTTAAGATATGTAAAGTACTAGTTTTCCATCTACGCAATGCATTATGATCAAATTTACAGGGTAATCTTATATATAAAATTCTCGTGTCACAATGTTAGTTACCATACCTACTCCTCCGAAACGGCCTGACCGATTTTTATGAAATTTTATATTCATATTCCGTGGGTCTGAGAATCGGCTACTATCTATTTTTCATATCCTTTAGTGATAATGGTTGTCCACCTGTAACGTAGGGTTCTGAAACCTACAATGCGCCTTCGCGCCAAAATTCAAACTATTGGGTATTGTAACGTAGTGCTCTCATATGGGTTAGGAGGAATGTTATCCCAGGAAATTGATAGAACACTACGTTACACTCCCCTAAAATTTTTTTTGGACAATATTTATTTTTTTATAATGTCGTATATAAAAATACATAAAACCCTAAATTTTCTCTTCTACCACCTGCCCCT